TTCATCTTTTTTTTCTGACACCATTTTATGATGATTGTCCTGAGAGGTCGTGGAGATTCAGTGGGGATATTCAGGACATCTAGACAAAATCCTGTGCCATGTGCTCTGGGATAACCCTGCTTGAGCAGGAAGGTTGCATCGCATGACCCACTGTGGTCCCTTTCCAGCCCAACTCGTTCTCTGATTCTGTGATTTCCTCTGAGTCAAACTAAAAAAAGGGCTTCTTCAGCCATATCCTTGTTGCCTTCTCCCTGTGTTCATGCTGCTTTCCTCAGATTCACAGAAAGGGATGCCCCCGCCTTATAATGTAACAGGCTCCTAGGGTGGCAGAGCCATATCTTGCAATGCACTAGTGTTTAGGTTATGGCTTCCTATTAGATTATTCTTCACAAAAATAGCTGGACTACAATGACAGATGCATCTTCTAGCAGCACCAGTCCACATATGTAAGGAAGGGAAAGCATGCAGGCCAGGCTCATGCCTTTTTCTAAGCACCACCTCTAGCTGCTACTGTAGGAGATGAACCTTGGGCTAGATATGCCCCTCAGATCTCATAACTACATTCTAAAATGAAACGGGAACCAGTATGCCTGGGTGCTGGAGCTTGAGCAAATGGGAATATTTTTCCCAGTGATCAAAGCCAGATTCTGACATGACCATCTAGTTGATTGAGTTCTTCCTGTCTTGACACATACTGTCTTTTGGGTATCAGCCTTGTGTCTTGTGATGAAATGGCACTGGCACCAGGCTAGGCAAGGGCTGGAGTTTAGCCTATGCAACCTTTCCACATGTGTGTGAGTCATGAAATTGAATCTTGAGTGGTCTTAAAAATTACACTTTTCATTTTAACCTGTACATGTACTCATGAATGGGCAAATTTGATTTTACAATAGATCATTTGATAAAAACAAAAGCATGTAATGTCAAGATAAAGTTGCTCAGTGTGCCTCTCAAGCAACAGTGATGTCTGCCTTTTCTGTATTACACTGTCACCAAGACTCAGATCCCTCTCATGCTAAAGGCTGAACACAGAAAGCACAAAATGGCCATGCACGTCTGACACTCTCATTGTCAAAGGAAATGCTTTTGCTACTACAGCCATCAGTAAGGAAAGCAATTAGGGTAACTTTTGCAGCAATGATGGTAAGTTTCAAGATAAAATCTGACTTTAGAACTTAATTTTATAGTTATCCTAATAATTAGTTAATGTAAGAGGATTTTGAGCTACTGTTTATTAATCCTATTTCAATCAAATGGACTCTTTAGCAATCTAAAGTATTCTTTCTACCCACCTATCATTCCTGTTTTTAAAGTCATACCAACTTGCAGTAATGTCCTAGCTGTATGTGTTCAACTTTCTTTACAGTTCTCCAGAGCTGGCCCTGTATGTGCTTGGTATGTCCCTTCTCCACTTTCTTCTGTATTGTTCACAGTTGTATCACCAAAGAAATACCAAGTTAGTAGAGCAAAAGAAAATATACCCAAATGCAATTCTTGTATATTTGAGTTAAATACATCATTATCCCTTCATTTTCCTTCATTCTTTCTCCAGCTGAGTGAATTCCCAAAGTAACCAGTCAGCTTCTCATGCAGTCAAAATTTTTCTCTGTGGCACAGGATAAAGTTTATCCTTTGATTTTCTTTACCGTGAGAATGTTTTTAGAGGAAAATGGACATGTAGTGAACAAGCTAGGAAAGGGATATGAACATTTTTATGAGCCTGAGCTAGGTCTGTAGCTTTGCCCTTGAAATTATCTTGAAAGAGAGATAAGAACAGCTACAGCCTAACAAGAAAATAAGGGGTGAGAAAAGTGAGCTAAAGGTAATAGGTGGATGCCAAAGAATTCTGAAGCCAATGAAACGTAGAAAAGTCCACATGTTTGCTTCGTGCAAGAAGGTTTCTCTGAATGAAAAGTTGTGTGATTGTGTGCAGGGGTAGAGAAATTGTATATTGGGGTTAGAAGAGAGTAATAAAGTAGGACTTGCGTAATTAATATAGAAACGTCCAGTTCTTTATCTTCTCACTTTATCAGCCTCCCTCCATCACAACATGATTATAAGGATTAGCTAATACTTATTCAGAATTCAGAAGTTGTGGCAAACTATGCAAACTATGGATAAAACGAATTTTTAAAATATAATAGTTAACAGTAGTTTTAAATAGGTTTATTGACTGTACTTCAGGCATGGAACAGAATACTTATGATAAAGATGAACAGGGAATGACCATCTAAACTGTCACTCATTCATTTGTTGGCCATATTTTTCATCACTTACACAAGAGGTGTCTTTCCATCCACCCAACCAGCACAAAACTTCTGCAATTGTGAGACTACTGCACAAAGAAAATTCTTCTTCAGCAAAAGTGGGATCTAAAGTTGGCTTTCCCACATGGACACTCTTACTTCAGGGGAGAAGAAAAGTCTTTTGTGAAGGGGTTTCACTCCTATTGTCTTTTTGGCTATCATTTGAACCTACAAGAGGCAACCTTTATAATGAAGGATTTCTCATTAGTGTTTACTCAATTGGGATTCTATGTGCTGGGAGAAAAGCTTGTTTCAAAGTAGTTACATGGATTTGTAATCTTACAGTTCTAAAACTGGTGTGAACCGTGTCTATTTGACGTCATCTGTGCGCAAACAAGTCCCTGTTTTCTGTATAGAAGTGAGCTGTTTCAGCAATGTTAACTCAACCAGTACTGACTGACCTTCTCAAATCCACAGATGCATTTTCAATAAATGTTTAACTACTGTTTTCTAAAGCCAAAGGTTCAGAACATGTAAAGCCTACTTTTAATCTTACACTGATTTTATAGTTACCAAACAGCATGGTTGCTGTAAGGCTGCATGGCTTGTCTACCCACAGTAATTTGATATTAATTAATTAATGGCATGTCAGCTTTCTATACTAATAGTAGAATTCCAGAAATGATCAATGTATGCATACATTCAAAGGCCAGGAGTGGAGGTGAATTAATCTCAATGTTCTATTGAGTTGCCTCAAATACAGGAGATTAAGGACATGCTATATAGGCTGAAAATAATTCACCTTCCCCACAGTAGAAAATGCACATTTTGATTGACTTGTATTAAACCAGCATCCTTTCAAATTATTGCAATTTCAGTTCACAGTGTTTGTTTCCACCTGGCTTCCATAGTGGGAATGGAGGAGTAAAACTCATCTTCCAACCCCCAAGAGTTCTGAGATAAAATCCAATCATCAACTCAAGGACAGTGTATCTTCCCTGTAAGATGGAAGAGGTTAGTTATCCTCAGGCATAGATATCAAAACTTTAGGTATATTTTGAACTGATCTTGACAATTTTATACTGAAGTACAGCTCTTACTGCAGATTACTTTAAGGCAAATTGTCCCTAATCAGAGACTGTAGTTTGTTACCATAAGTCATATATTCCCAGGCTGTTCTGCCTACTTGCTGCTACCTAGTTTCAGTGCAGTCATCCAAAATTTTATTGGGCCTTCACTGTTTGTTGTTCTCCACTATTGAGGTTGCAGTAGCTGCTCTAGATGGTTGTAAAGCATTGTTTACCCTTAAAAAATGGGCTAACTATGTTTTGTAATTTTTCCCAAATCCACCTGCCTCTAAAAGAACGTTTTTATGATACTGGGCTGTTGACCACTTGCCAAAGACTGAAATATGTCATTCAGAGAAGAGCATTACAATAATTCATATCTGATGTCTTCAGGAGTGTCTGTAATACTGGGCACAGGAAAAGCAGGCCGAAGTTGTTTACACTTTCAGAAGACATTTATGCATACCTTTGAAGTATTTAATGCATATATATGCAGTATGCTTTGCATGAAGACAGAATGTATGTATATGCAAAGACATGCATCTCGTAAAAGACTCTTGCCCTGTGTTTTACACCATTTGGAATTATTTCAATCTGCAGTTTCAACTTAGAATTCGAGACTGTGCTTATTCAACTCATGAATGTATTCTACTGAAATTTTAAAATATATTTTAAAAAAATATTCATCTTCTTAGATAACATGAATAAAAAACAATAGCTGATACAACAAATCTGAGTAGAACACTCGTATTCAGGTTTGTGTTTGTCAAATTATTGAGTCAGAGTGTGTATCTAAGGTCAAGTGCTGGGTGAACCTGGTTTCCTTTACTAGTGCTTGGATTTTGTTATCAAACATAAGCAGCAAAACATATTGCTTGATTTTGCTGTAAAATCAGAAAGGCTAGAACCAAAAGAAATGAGATTCAGAAGGGTCTAGATTCCTTTACAGCAGTATTTGTTGAGTGAGGTGCATTAACTTCTAGCTTTTGAAGTGGGACTCAGCCTATGTCTTTATATTGAACAGGTTTGGGGAGTCTCTTGTAAAAGTCTCATTGGGTCCAGCTGCCAGGGCCTGTTTCCTTGCAGCTTTTTTATGGTGCTGGGTAAGGCTGGGACACGTGGGGTTAACATGATCTCTGTAAACTGAGTAAGTTAATACTTGATGGAATCGGTTACTGAATATGTGGTTTTCCTGTACCGAAGAGTCCGGATGAGAGCATTCCTGAGCAGCAGAAGATACTAACCCTTGCTCTGTAGGTTGTGTGCAGTTCGTTATAATCTACAATGACACCCAGAGTTTTGCAATCACGTGGTGAAATCAGGCTGACTTCTGAATTTTGGGGCACAATTTCAGGACCGCTAGCATTGAAGTGCGACCCCTGCAAACACTAAGAACTACCAGCAGCCGTGTGTCGATCGAATCTCTGTGCCGTTCGCACAACGAATGCTCAAAGCATCCTTCCCTCGCCTCTCCCCGCACAATGCTCCGGACAAGATTTGGCTAAAAAATAAAAAATAAAAAAGGGTGCGGCGGGGACTTTCCTCCGCGCACATCTCAGCGCGTCGGCGGGACGGAGGGGCGGAACCCGTTTCCTGGCTGCCAGCCTTGCCGCGGGCGGTGGCGGGGGGCTGTCCCCTGTCCCCTGTCCCCGCCCCGCACCGCCCCGCCCCGCCGAAGCAAGTGGCGGTGCCGGCGGCCGCGGCCGCACTCGCCACCGCCGCCACCATGACGGACCGCTCCACCTTCGACACCAATGTCATCACCATGACCCGCTTCGTGATGGAGGAAGGCAGGCGGGCGAAGGGTACCGGGGAGTTCACGCAGCTCCTCAACTCGCTCTGCACGGCTATCAAAGCCATCTCCACCGCCGTCCGTAAAGCGGGCATTGCCAACCTGTGAGTCCCGGGAAGCGCTTCCCACCTGCCCGCATCCCCGTGGGTCCAGGGCATCCTGCTGCCTCCGGGGTGGTGGGTGTCGGGATGAGGATGGGAAATGGGTATTTCTTTCACCAGAAAAGCCTGTCAGTGGGGTTGCATCAACCCATCCTCTTGTACAGAGCTGAATGTAACTCCTTTAGTGTCTTGGTTTCTTGATTTTTTTTCAAATAACACAGGTCCTATGACTTTCAGTAGTATAAGGCATCCAATCTTTGAGAAATATCCGCTGATAATAGAACGTCATTAATACTTTCTGCAGGTGTGGATGCCTGGAGCCATAAGACGAAATATACTGAAAGACAAAGCCTAGCAAAATATGGCTGAATTATTGCATATTACCAATATTGCATAATTATGCATATTGCATAATACCAAAGCACCATTTAATGCTTTTGAGGTGTAGAATCAAATTCGGAGTGTGTTTTTGTTTTGGTTTTTTTTTATAGCGCATCATAGCAACTAGAGTTTCTGTATGAAACTTTAGGTACCTAAGGTGTTTAGGAAGTGCAGTGGTTAGGAACAGTAGCATCTGTAGTCAACCAGTCAGAGGGATGTTGTTCTGGAGCTGTATCAGAAGGAATTTGGAACTCCAGCAATGTGAAACAGCTGAAAATGCTTGTAGGCAACTGATCCTCCTAAGTATTTTACATATTCTTCATACGCCCAGCTGTGGGCTGATCAAGACTTCAGACATAGCCTACTTCATTACTTAATGGTAAATGTTGTAAAGAGAAAATGAATTTGCCTCTACAGACCATGAAGATGAAAATATAATAAGAAAAAAGGGAAAAACCCTCCACTTTATGTATGTTTGAACTAATTTTCCACTTTTGACTTCAGACTGCATGTAACTGTGGTAATTTTTAATTGTTACATGCTAGCGCTTTCATATACCTCCTATATCTATCAATAGAGACCAGGGTTTCCCAGCTGATTTGTAAGCTTTAAGCTATCCCTCCTGTGTCTTACATGTGTGTCTGTGGGCAGCTGCCCACAGGATTGGTATCTCTGCCTGTAGACTTGCCTTATTATCCCCTGCACAGTGGGTTTAACTCTCCATCAGTGCTGAGGTAGCAGGCTTTGGACTCATAAGCCTCCTTGAACAGGACATCTCTTGCTGTGGGACTGCATTTTATAAGCAGTGGTGAGATTTTGCTTTGCTGTCAGGGAATGTGAACAAGTAGGGATCACTGCAATCCATTTCTTTGGACCATCCCCAGATTCAACTCTATGCTTAGTGCAAAACAGGGAGGTGCAGCACAGCTGCAGGGGAGGGTGCAGGGGAGGGTGCAGAACAGCTGTAGAAGACATGCAGACCCTTCCCAGCACAGGCTCCACACCTGACACCTTGTCTTCCCCTCCCAGGAGTCCCCAAAAGATGAGGTGCAGAAGCTGTTCTGCTGCTGTGCCTCCACTCATATGCACGAGGTTCAAAGCATATATTTTTCTAAAGGCAGTTTCACAGTTGCAGAAAAATATTCAAGTCACTGTAGCAGAGAGAGAGAAAGACAGAGAGTTATGCCTGGTCTTTTTCTTTGTCTCATGCATTAAACTGAAGAAGTGCAATGCATTGCTAAAGTGGTGTGTTCAGTGTTATTACATGAAACCTGACATACCAGTTTTCAGCCTAATCAATGAACTGTAGTTGAAGTACATAAAAGCCATCCGAATGTGTGCTGTCGTTCTTCTCTTCTAAGAGCTAAACTTCCCTTTTCTCTGTTTTGCATTCTTACAAAATCACCTATCACATGGTCTCCTGGTATTTCCATATGCCAGATGGTTTGATTCTGATTAGCTTTCAGCTTTTTATTTGTCTTTCTTATTTGTATTTCTCAGGTCTCTTCAAAAGGAAGCATTTACTACTTCAAATCAAAACTGAAAACATTAAACCATAAATAGGTTGATTTATCTGTGAACAGACTTTTTCTGCAGCAATTTGCACATCATATTGCTAATCAGGAGTGTATTACAGACAAAGGATATAGCATAACTAGTGTGGTCAGATTCACGGATATATTAATATTTTTAAAGTATGTATTAATATACTTTTAAAACATAAAATTTTCTAATGAATTCTTAGCTTTTAAGGTATTAGGAACCTAGAATTCAGGAATAATATGTAGGTCTTAAGAGCTCATTAAAAAGCACAGTTGTAACTCAGCCTTCACAGCCTGGTCTGGCTGTGTTCAAGTGTTGTTTACAAACTATTGAAAGGAGATTCCTTATTTTGTATTTCTCAGCAACTTCTAGATATGCAAACACAGCTAATGGTAACATGTCTCAGCAAGAATTCACTGGGCAGTCAATAAAATGCAGGTATAGAGAGCTGAGGTGTCATTTGAAAGTGCTGTATGTTTACAGGAGGTTTTACAGGCGTAAGAAATAGAACATTTTAGAAGGTGCAGTGTTCCATTCTCATTAAATACTCTCTCTTACAATTACTTTAGCTATGGAATTGCTGGGTCTACCAATGTGACCGGAGATCAAGTGAAAAAGCTGGATATTCTTTCCAATGACCTGGTGATTAACATGCTCAAGTCATCATTCAGTACATGTGTTATCGTGTCCGAAGAAAACAAAGATGCTGTAATAGTGGAAACTGAGAAACAGGTTAGTAACTTTAAAAGTTCTGCCTGCTTGATTTCAGATCAGCCTATACAGGTGTACTGCTCCACATCTAAAAAAGTAAATCTGAGCCAAAAGTTTCAGAAAACAGGGACTTTCCTAAACTGGCAAATGAAGGTGGAGGTGATAGGTGGGGAGAGTGTTAGTCAGCATTTGTTCCTTCTGTTATTTCTGCTCTCCAGACTAATGTTTGGTTTTATTTTTTTTAATGTGTTGTTCCTCTCCACCTTCTTTTTTTCCTACATTTTAATGTAGCAAATATTTCATTCATCCCCGTCTGATCTCTGGAACTATGCTCTGAGTTAGTCAAGCCTCTTTGAAATGTCACTTTTTGAGTAGGACACTGATGAGCTGTTCTCTGCTGGTCAAATCTTGAGGTCTTTAGTTCATGAAAATTCTCCTTGAAGCCTATGGAAGACTTAGCAACAATGAAACAAAAGGATTTTTTGCATTTATTATTCTTGATATTCACAAGCCAGCATGCACTTGTTGTGGGATAGTTCCTATTTCCCAGCTAATATTTTGGTCTGATAATGTAAAAATCTGAGTAAAAATTTAGTAAAAATGAACAGCAAAAACATAATTTACAAAGTACAATAAAGTTTGCTTTGTTTAAGCAGTTCTCTCTCTCCCTGTTGAGACATCTTCAAAATTGATTTTCTAGGCATTGGATTTCCTTAGATCTGAACAAATACTCTCAAGGATCATGGAGGGAGTCTGAGTATTAATGCTTTTCTAAACTCAATGTGAGCTCACTTAATGTGAGCCAATACAGTGTTTTTATTGATGCATACTAGGAATTCCTACTTGAGTAGAGCACTGCTGAACTTAAACTTAAATTTCTGACATGCAGGATAAAATCAAATGAAAAACAAAATAAACACTGTTTTTACAGTATTATCAAGACAACTGTGAACAAAATGATGGGGGAACAAAATATTTAAAAGGAGCAGTTAATTCCTTTTTTGACCCCCCAAAACCCAGGGTAAGATCAGTCTGGCTAAGGTAGTAACTGAGCATTTCAGAGCACAGATAAAGGAAAATATATAGTTTAGGCGTGGCAGTCATTCAAGAGCTTTTTAATACCTCTATATGTAGAGGTAAAATACAGTTTTTAGCTCTACATGAAAAAGGCTGATCTTGATTTTGGTTTTTTTCCTTATTATTCAGAAAGACATGTTGTAGCCAAAGAGAAAGTGCAACCTAGGCTAGAGGGAGAATATGAGAGGATTGACTTCAATTACACAGGTGAAACTAAACCGATGAAAGTATTCCCCCTTTTTTTCATCATATTAAAAAGTATTTAAGAAAACTTCACTTTTCCTGTGTTATCATCTGCTATGTACTTTAAAGATTCCTCAGCTTCTGGTTTGGCACAAATCACAGTTGTAATCAAGAATGAAATCTGGGCCAAAGAATTGCTGACATTTGAATTTGGATTCTTTATAATCTGTAACGGTATTTTAGCTTACACTACTGTGTAAGTCTCTGAGAAAATTTACTTACTGAAATGTTTTTATTTGGAGGAAGTGGATAAATACTGTCACTAATCTGATTCCCTCTTTTGTATTTTCTAGGGTAAATACATAGTCTGCATAGACCCTCTAGATGGTTCATCGAACATTGACTGTCTTGTTTCCATTGGGACCATCTTTGCAATTTATAGAAAGGTAAAATTCTTTCATGTAGAATAGGAAAAGCTATTATTGTTCAGCTTTTGGCGAAATAAAATTGCATGGAAAGACAATAAAATCTAACTAAGCTTGTTTGTGAAAGAGACTCAGGGCCAGCTTTAAGTTAAATCTAGTATTTCACAGACAAATGTATTTGAATATGAATTAGAAAGGATTTGAATTAGTCTCTTACAAGAAGAAGAACCTATGTGTACATGGAAGCCTAGCTGATATTTAATTAGCCAGCTAATGAAATTCCCTCTTGGAAAAGATCATGTCTTAGGTTTCACAAATATTTGTGTTGAGGCAAAATACCACGCGGTTGTCATCTACTTGGGGAATGTGCTTTTGGGTTTTCTTGTTCTCTGTACTAATAGTCCTGTTGGCCTGAGGACAGGCTTCAAAAACAAACCAGAGCTGAAACATGTCATGTGCATTTGAAATGTCTAATTCACTCTGAAAGGCAGAAACCGTGTATGAAGGAAGTTGAAATACCAGACTTACAGGTCACAACATGGGGGGAAAAGTAGATCAGATAAAACACACCCAATTGTCCATTTTAATCATCTTTTGTATGTTGTCATATATCCTAAAGTAGTATTTTCAACTTCATTTCTGTGTGAAGCAAAAGAAAACAGAAAAAAATCCCAAGTACTTTTGATCAGCTTTCAACTCTGTGAGTCATGTTTCATTTTTTTTCAACCGTGCCCCTGAATTTCCCTCTGAGCTGTGTTCATTGTCACCTGCAAGGAGGTACATAGCTCTTTATTATGTCCTTAATCCTTTCCTGCTTCCTGCATTCCTGCTGGGCTTAGTTAGAAGAGCATTTCTAGATCAATGTGTTTGTATCCTATATATAATTTGTATTAGTGCATCTAGTAGGAATCTCAGTTGAGATCATGGAAGCATTTGTGCCACTTCATGGATGGATATGGAGTAGAAGACTGTCCTTATCCAGTCATGTACCAGCAATATAAATGAAATAAAATTGACTATACTCTTTCTTGTTCTAGGTGTCCCCTGATGAACCTTCTGGGAAAGATGCTTTACAGCCTGGACGTAATCTCGTGGCAGCTGGCTATGCGCTCTACGGGAGTGCCACCATGCTGGTACTGGCCACTTCTGCTGGAGGTGTCAACTGTTTCATGCTGGATCCGGTGAGAGTGTCTTCTGTTTCTTTGTTTCTGTATTAGGAATTACCAGGCACTGTAAAAGAACTGTTTGTCCCAAGGAAAATCAACCAGAGGAGCAATTTTCAAAGTAGCATGAAGGAATGAAGTATAAATGTAATTGTACTTACAACCCACCAGCAATAATCTCAAGAGACTTGAATTCCACCTGCCTAATGCAGCAGTGCCACGTGTGACTCAACAACAGGAAGCCAGCTGAGTCAGCAGAGCAAATACACAGCATGTGTAATCATGTGATATTGAAAACAAGCACTTTTCTGCAATACAAAATACCCTTTAAGTCCTATTTGTCTTTTCCTAAATGCTAGGA